AGGAGTTACTCAGTATCTGAAGAAGCCTGGAGAGTAGGTTTGTTAGAGAGGGATCCAAGAGATTGATAATCACAGAGATATAAACCTTTGTCAAAATAAATCACTCTGTAAACTTTATGTACTTTTTTTAGCCATAGGTCAATTATCTCTTAATAATAAAAAATGGGATGACACCATGCATCAACAGTGTGGTTACATTTTATAAAAAGGAAAACATATATAAGTGTTAATAAGAATGGAGGAAAAGTGGAATTCCAGTGGATCACTGGTAGGGTTATTAATTGATACAAACACTTTAAAACTAGATTTTAGGAGTACCTACTAAAGCTAAACATTGGCATATGCTATGGCCTAGAAATTTCACTCTTATAAATAAACCCAACAGTATGGCACATGTATATTTATCAAAAGACATCTACGAGAATGTTTTTAGCATTGTTTATCATAAATAGCTAATACCAGATAGTTTACATGTCCATGAACAGTAGAATGTATAAGTAAAATGTAATGTATTAATTCAATAGAATCTATATAATTGTGCGAATTAACCAATAATAATTATATGCAACAGTTATCATGAACAAATATATTATTATATTTGCTATAATTAGACAAATATTGTAAACATGATGTTAAAAGAAGTAAGATGGGACTTAGAATGGGAGTACACAATGTGTGGTTCATTAATGCAAAATTTAAAATCAGGCAAAAATACTCTATGGTGTTAGAAGTCAAGAAAGTGTTCACATCTAGATATGGAGGGGGTTTTTAGGGGTTGGTATGAACAATGAAGAGGAGTTATGGGTTGTAAAATATTTTGTTTCTGGATTTGGGTACTGGTTGCATGGGTGGGTTCACATTGTGAAACTTCAATGAGCTGTAAATATTCAATTTATGTTTTACTTCAAAAGAAAGTTCACAGAAAATGTAAGAACACTTTATAGCACTGACCACAGGGAAGCTTTAAATGAGAAGAAATTAGAAGACTAATGTGACAGAAGATGAATAGAGAGATCTAAGTTTTTCAGAAAAAAAGGATGGGAGGTCGGGAATTGGGCTTAGAATGGGAGTGGGACACATTAAAAACTAACAAACAAAATATTGGGCTCCAAAGGGGAGAGAGACGTCACATATAAATAATGTTGGGAGTAATTGATCCCACTTCCGGGCAAATGGGTTCAGGGGGAAATGTTTAGAGGCTTTTTTGTTTCCATGGGCTGGAATTGGTACCATTACTTCTAGGAAACTTGTCTAACATAGAAGGAAAAAGGGCAGCATGGAGCCAACATGGTACTGACAGGTAAACGTGGGCTATGCTGACCAAGTACTGTAGAGTTAGTACTGAGCTTTCTGCTCTCCTCATCTGTAGTGCACTTGGAAAGAGAGAAGACTGGGAAACCAAGACACAGGCAAAGTGGGGCCATCCAAGTTGTCTTAACCTGTTTAGCTATTTTTACTACAGTGTTCAAGCCCTTGCCTTGCTAAAGGTACAGCAAAGCCTATGCCCATAAGAATTATCTATATGTTGTATGGGATATCTCTCAATTCAAGGGTCAGGGAAGAGATCAGTGCAATCTGAAAGTGCCCCATGGAACACTGCACCTGGGTGAGATTTATCAATAAATTCATTCCTGAAAATGACTAGCAGGGATTGTCATATTTTTCAAACATGCCTGTTCCATTAAGTGTTAGAAGCACATTTAAAATAGAGTTGATGATTTTTATTTGCTTCATCAATAAGATTTAAGACTTCCTCGCTGGTAAATAAAACAGGATTTTTAACTAGTGCAGTTAGATATTTCCTTATTATTTCTTTCTCTTTCCTTCAATATAGATATTTGGGGGTTTTCTTTACCGTTGTTAATCATACTGTTTTTATGGTTTACTTTTCCCACAGAAGTGAAGCACAGCCATTGAAATGGGAACTACATAGAAATTTTTCATGTTATTAAATCTCTTGTATTCAAAGATAATATTAAATATCATGTACCCCTCATATTTCATGATCAGTTTACAGTTACCAGGTGTCAATAATTTAAAAATATAATTAAAAACAAAAGACAAATTGGATTATACCAGTTCTTCCTGATAATATATTTCAAATCGGTTTAGTAACATGAGTAGCATGAAGGATTTAAGTAAATAATATACTGAACTTCTCAGTCTGTGGGATTTCTGAAATAGATTATCCTGTGAAAATGAGAAGTTGGGAACATGCTTCCTCAAGCATTATATTGTATAATTTGTTCTGGCCTTGCCTGAGTTCACACAGATAGCAAATTGAACTTGAACTAATAATTTTACGGTATGTGTTTTTCAAGACCCTTCACAATTTAATTTTATTATATAAATATATATAATTGATTTTTTTACAGAGAGGAAGGGAGAAGGAGAGGGATAGGAATACAGAGTTAGAAACATCGATGAGAGAAACATCGATAAGATGCCTCCTGCACACTCCCTAATGGTTGTGTGCCTGCAACCAAGGTACATGCCCTTGACCGGAATTGAACCTGGGACCCTTCAGTCCACAGACTGATGCTCTATCTATTGAGTCAAACTGGTTAGGGACACAATCTTACCTTTTGTAATCCCATTATTTAAGGTATCTAGACCATTAGCTTATTCAGTACCTACAATAGTCAGTATGTGATATATATAATAGTGATAATTATTATTGAACATATTTTAGATGTCTTAGAAAATAATCATGTGACTAACATCTAAATTTACAGAAAAATACATTTTTGAGGCATATGAAATTTGGAATTAAGAAATAAAGAAAATATAGTTAAGTTGCATTATAAAGAATATTAAAACAAAAGGTTACTTTCAAAATTCTAATGACCATATCTTCAAAAGTATATGCAAATTTTAGTTAACTTGCATAAGTCTTATTTGTATGTGTGATATGTTCAATATTCTCCCTCTAGACCAATTCTATGAAGAATTTCAAAAGTTTAAGTGATGGCCGAAACTGGTTTGGCTCAGTGAATAGAGCCTCAGTCTGCAGACTGCAAGGTCCCAGGTTCGATTCTGGTCAAGGGCAGGTACATTGGTTGCAGGTACATCCCCTGAAAGGGGTGTGCAGGAGGCAGCTGGTCAATGTTTCTCTCTCATTGATGTTTCTAGCTCTCTATCCCTCTCCCTTCCTCTCTGTAAAAAAATCAATAAAATATATTTTTTTTAAAAGTTTAAGTGGTGGAAAATTGGATGAAATATATTCTAATACCAAGGAAAGAAAAAAAATACACATATGCAAATCCTACTTGTGAATGACACAATTAATATTAAATTACAGTAACAATGTTACTGCATCTATAGCTCATACAGGTCTTTGTACTTGTTCTTATCTATGCCTGAGAGCTTTTCCTCCAGGGAGCCTTTGGCTGTCACCCTCGTGGCCCTTGGGTCTTTGTTCAAAGGTCACCCTTTCATTTGAGACCTTTTCTGACCATCCTATTTAAAAGTGTAATCCTACTCCTAGAACAATCCAGTTGTTTAGGTCTACCATAGAGCATATATTACATTTTAACTTTCTATATGTTTTTCATATTTATTTTATTTATCATTTGTCTCCTATTACTAGAATGTAAGCTTATGGGGATAGAGATTTTGATTTGTTTGCTAACTCTTGTATTCCCAATACACAGAAGAGTTTTAGATACTGGATTGTTGTTCAATAAATATTTTTTACACAAAGAAAGCAAGACAGAAAGGAAGAAAAGATGAAGAAAGGAAGAATGGAAGGAAGGAAGAAAGGAAGGAAGGAAAGAAGAGAGGAAGGGAGGGAGAAAAGGAGGGAGGGAGAGAAGAAGGGAGAGAAGGAGGAGTAAAGGAAGGAAGGAAAAAAATGAAGAAAGAGAGGGAGAAAGAAAGGAAAAGAAATCAAGGGAAAGATGAGGCCAAAAGTTGCTTAACATAATATTTTGAATATGGCCTTTGTAAGAAAGTACCATTGATTGAATCAACTATTAATTCCTGCTTTTATATGAAATACTGTTGATAGATCTAGAGGGGAAAATATGCAAGGAAGAATAAATTAGAAAAATAAAGGGAAGAAGGCTCATAAAGAAAGAAAGAGAAGTAAATATTCAGTCAGAACTGGCCTTGGCAGTTTGCATTATTTTGCTTGATCCTCATAAGGAATCTGCAAAGCAAGGAAAGTTGAGACTTGCCAAAGTAAACTGAAAAATGAAGTTGAAGAAACCTTTATCCCCAAAACTCAGGGGAGTCTAAGGATGGAGAAATAGTGATATGCAGAGTAGAGTATAAATCCAAGTTTTAAGTTTTCTGTAAAGAAAAGAATGATGAACCAAGGAGGGCAAATAAATCATATAACACTTCAAAATGTTTGCCAAAGTATTTTCTGGCAGTGTCATAATTTATCCTAGTAAAGATACTTCCATTGATATTTGAAGATTGATTTACACATTGAAAAGCTGTTTCTTAAATAGGCACAATATTATTTGCATTAATAGCATACATATTAATACCACCATTTCAATTTTAAGGAATGAACCCAAAAATAATGACCAGTTATTTAAATGAAGATATCACACTAATAAAAGAGTAAGATGCTAATTGACCATACAGTCACAACACCCAACACCCAACACCCACCAGGAGTGAGTATGCAAATTAACCCAACAAAGATGGTAGGTTAATTTGCATATGCAGGTACCCAGTGGCTAAGGGCAGGGCGGGATGCTTGCGTTCTGTACCATCCCAGCCTCTCTGGGCCTCTGGGCAGTGTGGGAAGGCGGAAAGGCTTTTCTGGGCCTGAGCAAAAAGGCGGCTCTGGCTAGAGCAAAGGCGGTGTCAGCAGCCAGGGGAAGGAAGGCCCATTCTTGCCCAATCTTCCTGCATGGGGCCTCTAGTAATAGGTATATTTTCTTCAGTTTGGCATATGCAGTGTGATAAAAACCTTTTACTGTATTTACAAAAAGAATAAATAAGCTATAAAGAATCATTAATAAGAGGACAGTGTAGAGACTTACCTAGAACTTTGCTGTAATACACATTCCATTCTCCCCAGTAGGACTGAAATATGTAGTCTTGCAGAGGATAAGATATGGAATTTTTAACCCTTTCACCAAAGGTCATCCGGTCGGTGAGCTCTGACAAGGCTGCAGGCACATAGGAGGCAGGTGCAGGGATTTTCCCACAGTGTCTCTCTACTGTTGAGGCTGGAGAGAACCTCAATGTGTACATAAATGGGATTCCTAATTTCAGAGCAACCAGGTCGCCACAGATGGTTACTGGGTCGGCTACTAACACATCAAAACTACCTTCCTGAAGTCTTGACATTAACTTGGGGTTATTTAATACTCCATCACAAATTTGTATGTTAATTTGAAAAAAGGTATCTAGTAGTTTTCCTAGTTCCTTGTAGAAAGTCCAGAGTGTGAGAGGAGTTGGTCTATGGTTTGTCCACAGCATGACCATATGTTCAATTAAGGAATCTATATCATTCTTTGTGAAGGAAACAGGTATCTCCTCAAAATTTATAGGAGAATCAAGACTGGAGTTGATGAATAAAGTTGCTGTTGAAGCCAGTACGGTCACACTGTGATTTCTTTGAGTTAACTCTTCTAGAATGATCTTAATATTTAACCAATGGCTACCATCCGTTGGCCAAATTAATACATTTCCACTTAAAACAATTTCAGTCAGAGTCAAATTAAAAATCATCAGGAAGCCAAACTTCTTAGGCATGGTGATAGCCATTATGGAAACTAATCTACTGTAGTTCTTTTCAGATGAAAATAATTTTGAAAGTATATTTATGTAAGCTTTTTTTTCAAATAAAATAATATTTTATGTAACAGCTACACTCATTCATAGGTCAATTGATCTACAGATGAAAAGGAAAACAATGTAATTAAAATTCTTATATGCATTAATATGATTATTTCAACAACAACAAAAAAAACATGGTCCTATTTTAAAGGAAAAAAAAAGGCAAGCAGGTTATAAGCCTAGTATCTGTATACTCTGTGATAATGACTATTATTTATAAAATGTATCTCCAATTTAACATATCTTTCCAAACTCAGGTTAAATGAAAAGTAGCACTTCTTATTGCTAAAGCCACTTGGTCAAAACATATATCACCTCCAAATTGTATGTCTTTATTATAAGTATTTTTACATACAAAACACATTAGCCATAGAAAATTTGCACCAATTAGAATATTGTCCTTGTTCTTTAAATCAAGTTTTCATTTTAATTTCTATTTACTTTAAAGGAAATAAAATATAAATAAAACTCATATTTGGTATATAACACTTTCTGAAGAACATTTAGTTCATCTGTATAAAATCACCTTAGAACAAAATTTCTTAAACTGACTATAATGCAATTATTTTGAATCAAGAATCCTTAAAATAACATTTTTGTATGGAAATTCTTTCTTACATACTTTCCACCCAAAGACATGCCCTGACTTCAAGGTCTCTTCCTCCTGTGCTTCCGAAGCATTGCACAGCATGGCTAGGATTTCCTCGTGCTGATTTTTTTCTCATTGCTTCTCAGATTTGGAGGTGGCCCCAGAGGCCACAAAAGCTTGGAAATCAACCTTCATACTGTTTTAGGAATATGAGTTGTCAACTCCTTAGTGACTTCAAAGTTTTAGCCTCACATCAGTACTTCAATTTTATTTGGCTTGATTGGCATTTAGTTAATTACTTTGAAAGCTAATATATATATATATATATATATATAGATTATATATGGAGAGAGAGAGAGAGAGAGAGAGAGAGAGAGAGAGAGAGAGAGAGAGAATCTTTCTAGAGCTTTCATTTTAGCTCAAGTCTGCCATCAAATGCTTTACCGCCTTCTTGATTCTTGATTATAACCTCAGGCAAGTTACTCAGCTTTCTTACTATAAAATGTGAGGAAACAATGGTGCCTATTTTCCTATAGTTGTGAAGACTGAATGAAATAATGCATACAAATTATTCAGAACAGCATCTGTGTGCCATAAATGTTAGCTATATAGAATATTGTAGGAAGAGAATTTTACATTACAAATGACCAATTTAACCCAAGCTCATCACCTCCTTTCATTCCTCTCACTGGAGTGCCCAAGTTTTAGTGACAAGGGGAAGCAGAGTTTGCCACCCTAAAACATGCCTTTTGAGATATTAATATTTTTAAGCTAGATATTTTCAAGAAATGAAAGACTAAAGAGAAAACTTTGACTTTCTTCCCAAGTGCCTAAAAGAATTAGATGGAGGACCTGTTCCAGGCAGGGAGGCATCATCACCAATAACTATGTAGTTTAATATGACTAGTGTTTGGGAGACAGGGAGGAACCTGGCCAGGCCTTTGATCAAAGTCTTCTCCGTGTCTTATTGTTCAAGATGGCCCAGCAAACAGTTATTTACCAGAAATTTGCTTTTCTTTCTCCATGTGAATTGCCTCCTACTCTTTGAAGTCCCAAACTGCAGTACCCTTTTTACCTTAGCTCAACATGCTTTACGCCCAACTGCCTGATCTGTTCTGGGTTTCATATTCTATGGAACCCCTATATGTACATATATAATAATTTTGGTCATTTTTTTACTGTTAATATGTCTTGTGTTAATTTGATTATTAGTTCACCCTTTTATTTAGGTCACTTTGACCTTTTATTTTTAGATTTATAATATGAAAATCAAGATTATACCTACAAAAATTATAATCTTCATTCTCTTTCATTAAGTGGGGTGGGGGGGGAGAGTGACAATTCTCTCTGGGAATTGTGCATGACCCAGAATAAATTCTGTCTTGGATGTCATGCCTGTGCCGTTATCCAGCTCATGGATTATTGTGGAAAAGGTAATGCTACCAACACTTATTTGAAAAGTTCTAAAAATTGAAGATTAACTAAAATTTAAAAATACAGAAAGAAAGGAAAGAAGGAAGGAAGGAGGACCACAATGGAAAAACTAGAAGGAAAGAAGTGGCAGCGAGAGGGGTGGGGGGAAGAGAAAGAAAAAGAAAGACCCAAGTCAAAATATATTATTCTTTAGAGAAAAGACTCCAATACATCTTTTCTCCTTTAATATGTTCAGAGTAGTCCTGGCCAGGTGGTTCAGTTGGTTGGAGCATTGCCCTGTACACCAAAAACTGGCAGGTTCGAGTCCCCATTAAGGCACATGCTGGAGGCTAAAGATTGGTGTTTCTCTCTTACATTGGTGTTCTCTCTCTCTCTATCCTATTCTCTCTCTAAAAAAAATCAATAACATTTTAAATAAATAAATAAAATGTTCACTCTACTGTAAATAAAATACTTTGGAAATATACATACTTAAATTTGTTTAATTTCTATCACTTTATTTTATGTTAATTACCTATTACTTAGCTCATGCAAAGATTTAAATATTATGGTAAAAAATTTTTCATTTTTGAAGATATTTTTTCCTATTTAAATTAATATATTTGCAAGATAATTTACTGTTATTAAAGATAATATTTGTTCTCACAAATCATTCATTTAGTTATTTATAATACTACATTAGGTATTCATAAAATTTTAACATATAAAGATTTCTCAAGCAAATAAAAACCTGTTTGTTTTTATAGTGGCCAAAGTATAAAACTGTTGGCAGCAAAAGGTAATGTTTATGGGTTATAAATATTTTTTACTGTCATTAAAATGTTATATTATTCTTCCTTAAATGTTCCCCTAATTTTTGTGGCTTTTTTGTTGTTAATACAAACATATACATAAAATTTACCTGTTTTTACTTTAAACAAATATAATATATTAAAATCTGCAGCAGGTTTTTCTTTATGTTAAAGAAAAGCTTACTTAAGACTCAAACGCTATTCTCAGACAAATTTCTCCAGGCAACAGAATCACCTGGAGACCTGTGCTTAAGGGAATAGCAAATTCCCTAAGTGATAACATGGCCCAATTAAATTCCATTCAGCAAAACAAAGTAGATGAGAAGTAGAACTGCCGATTTCAAAGGCTAAATACACTGAAAGGAAGAAGAAAGTACTGAAGAAAGTTTAGACTAAAAATAGTCTAAATAATTGCTAAATTTTAAGAGGGGAGAAAAAAATTTCTAGGAGCTTTGGTGTCAGTAAGACTTCAGTTTGAAAACTATTTTCTCAAACTGGTAGCTATACAATTTTATTTTAATATGTTTGATATTTCTAAGCCTTAACATTTTTATCCATAATAGCAGTTTTTTTCTTTACAAATTTATTGTAAGGATAAAGAGATATAATACGCATGAAGCACTTATTACAATGTCTGTGGCACAGGATGTGATCAACAGGTGTTAACTCTAATGATATTCAGGTGTCTGAGCTGAATACCCATGACTTGAAACAAAAGAAGTAATTTGACATTATAATATCCAATTCCTAGCAATTAGCAAAGATTAAGGTCTCACTTTGAGGTTCTCATTGCATTGCACCACAGAACCATTCTGTTTATTTACTCAAATGTGACAAGCTGAGACCTGAGTGCATATGGATTCTTTGCAATGAATTTGACTAGAGTGGTCAAGCTAAAGTAAAAAGTAAATTCAAATTACAAATTGGAAATGTTATTTTTACATACAAGTACTATTTATCATTCACATTTATCACATGTTCGAAGACTTGCACAAAAATAAATTACTCTGCCAAGTCCGTACTACTGCTTCTTACCTGGTTTTCTGAGTATGAGTGTTCATGTCCCTGGCATCAATAAGAATGTGCTTTAGTAAAACAAACTTAAATACTCATGCTAAGTCAGAGAAGTATCATTTGATTAGAAACATGATATTATCAACATCAGAGTGTTTGGAACATTTTTAGAAATCTTCATTGCATTCCCATGAACAAATTGTTAAGGAGTATTAGTCTCCTGTGAAGGTGTGAAAACTTGAAGAATAATGGGACTCAGTGGTTTTATTACCAGCATTAACTCACAAGCACAATACAATGGAACCTGTGATACAGACTGCCAGCACAGGGGGAGGTTTATCTGGGGATAATCTCACCAGAATGAATAGGAGCAGTGTAATCATGATAGTCATTACTTCAGGGCTGAGAAAGAGCAATTGATAAAAGTTTAGATAATGAGATAAAAATGGGGATGTATCTAGTGAGCAAAGAAGGCTTCACTTACCTTCCTCTACTTTATGAACTGAGGCACTGCACAGATTCGGATGTCACTGTTAGTTTACTGCATGCATGAGGAAATCAAAGGGTTTTTGAAATATTAAAAACTTTATTGCCTCATAAAATGGCAATTTCATCATCCTCTATTTTTCACTTTTAGCCCCATGATGTTGACTATCTACTGCTATTATCATAGGATAGTTTATAACCCTCAAAGTGCTATTCTCTCTGAATGACAGGATAAATAGGTCTCTGTTCTGTTTACATTTCCAAGAGTAAATTCATTCTTTAATTTGGGGGCAACTATTTAACATATCCAGAAAAGGTGATTCAGCAACTATAACTAACACTAAGACACTCCTTACCAATAAACTTATGTCAATTCATTTATGGAAAAGAATCCAAGAATATACAATGGGTAAAGGAAGTTTCTTTAATAAATGGTGTTGGGAAAACTGGACAACTATATGCAAAAAAATAAAACTGAACATTATTTTACACCAGACACAAAAATAAACTCAAAATGAATTAAAGACCTAATTATAAGACCTGAAACCATAAAATCCCTTGAAGAAAACATAAGCAGTAAGCTTCTTGACATTGGTCTTAATGATGACTTTTATGGGATTTGAAACCAAGAGCAAAGGCAATAAAAGCAAATATAAACAGTGGGATGACATAAAACTGAAAAAGCATCAGCACATCAAAGAAAACCAACAAGAAATGAAAAGGCAACCTACTAAATGGGAGAAAATATTTGCCAATCATTGGTGTGATAAGGTGTTAATATGCAAAATATATAAACACTTATTAACGAAAATATGTGATTAAAAATGGGCAGAAAATTTGATATTTTTTCTAAAGAAGATATACAAATGGCCAACTGGTACATGAAAAGGTGCTCAACATCACTAATCATCAAGAAAATGCAAATTAAAACCACAAGAGATATCACCTCCCACTTTTTATAAAATAGATAAGTGTTGATGAGAATATGAAAAACAGGGAACTCTTGTGCACTGTTGGTGGTGATGTATATTGGTATAGCACCTTTGGAAGACAGTATAATTGTGTACCAATTAAGAATGGGTAATCATTCTGAAAAAAGCACTGTAGGCAATTTTGTTGTTATGCAAACACCATAGATACACTTAAACATAGATGGTGTAGCCTACTACACACCTAGGTTATACAATACAGCCTATTGCTCCTAGGCTACAAGCATATAAAGCATGTTACTGACTGAATACTGCAGGTAATTATAAAATAATGGTAAGTATTTATGTACCTAAATATATATCTAGAAAAGGTACAGCAAAAACACAGAAGGAAAGATTTAAAAAGATGATACACTGGTATAGGACACTCACAATTAATGGAGCTTGCAGCTCTGAAAGCTGTTCTGGGTGACTCAGTGAGTGAGTGTGAAGGCCTAGGATATTTCTGTACACATCTCTGAATTTTTAAATTCTACACTAAATTTATTTAAAAAAAAACACAAAAAAAAACACTTGAGATTAAATCAAGAATAAGAGAAAATGATGCAATCAAGAGATGCAGTAAACATAAGATGTATGAGGCAGCATAGCATACTGTTTTACAACAAGCCTTTTTTAAAAATTCATTGTTTTGAGAGAGAGGGAGAGAGAAATATCCATTTGTTGCTCTACTTATTTCTGCATTCATTGGTTGCTTCTAGTATGTCTCTGATGTGGATCTGAACGCACAAGCTTGGCTTATCAAGTCTATGCCCTAACCACCTGAACTACCTGGCCAGGGCGCAAGCTTTTTAAAAAACAAGTAGAAAGAGTACACTCTAAAATAACAAGTAAAAGGATAGTTGTGTAAATATATAAACCAATAACAGAGTTCATTACTATCAAGTATCATGAATTGTACATGATTTTATGTGCTATGCTTTTATATGACTATCCACACAGTAGGCTTGTTTACACCAGCATAACCACAAACACAGGAGTATTGCATTGCGCTACAACGTTACAGTATCTACTACTGTCCTCACTAGGTGATAGAAAATGTTCAGCTCCATTATAATCTTATGAGACCACACTCATATATGTGGTTCATTTTTTATGAAAACATTATTATGCATTATATGACTTTAAAGAGATCACTGAAAAAGTTAAAAATAGAATGCCATAACAATCATCAATTCCACTTCTAAAGTATACTTCCAAAGAAAAGAAAATCATTGTTTCAAAAAAATGTCTGGACTGCTATGATCATAGCCTATTATTTACAACTAGTGGCCTGGTGCATGAAAATTCATGCACCGGCAAGGGGAGACCCTCAGCCTAGCCTGCCCCCTCTCGCAGTCCAAGAGCCTTCAGGGGATGTCCTACTGATGTCTTAGGGAAGCCACCAGACTAATCAGGGGAAGGCACTGCCCCAATCACCTTGCTGCTGCTGCCAATGCCACTGCCCTCGGCCCTTGCAGCCACCAAGGTGTTTTCATCAACATGGACTCCAGTTCCTTTACCACAAAAAAATGACAACTTTCTTTAGGCATTTTCAAGAAGTTTCTTTCATAGTATATGAACTAACTTACTTTCTTTCTTTCTTTCTTTCTTTCTTTCTTTCTTTCTTTCTTTTCTTTCTTTCTTCTTTCTATATTCCTCTATTATTAGAATAGATAGCCAAGACATGGTAACAACCCAACTGTCCAATGATGGGTGAATAGATAATGAAAATGTGATTTATATATACCGTGAGATATTCAGACATAAAAAAGAAAATCCTATCATTGCAACAACTTGGACGGAACTTGAGGGCATTATGCTAAGTGAAATAAATCAGACAGAGAAAGACAAATACCATATAATTTCACTTATTTGTGGAAGCTTAAAAAAAAACCCACACACAGAAAAAACATAAAGACAAAAAATACCCAAATTTATAGATATAGAGAACAGATTGGTATTTGCCAGAGGTGGGAGTAGGGGGTGGACAAAAATGGGTGAATGGAGTCAAAATATACTAACTTCCAGTTATAAAATAAATAAGCAATGGGTATATAATGTAAAGCACAGTTACTAGTTAACAATATTATATTGTATATTTGAAAGTTGATAAGAGAGTAAATCTTAAAAGTTCTCATCTTAAGGGAAAACTTATAACTATGTGTGATAATGAATGTCAACTAGATTTATTTCGGTGATCATTTTTTTTTTCTCAATATATATGAACTAGAGGCCTGATGCATGAAATTCATGAAAGGGTAGGCCTTCCTTCCCCCACCTGCTGGCACTAGCTTCCCTCTGGCACCTGAGACCCAGGCTTCCCTACGAGCCCAGCTTTGTCTGGAAGGTCATCCAGAAGGACCCCTGCTCTCATTAGCATATTAAGCTTTTATTATTATAGATATCAAATTATTATGCTGTATACCTGACACTACTGTATGTCAATTATATCTCAATTTAAAAATAAATAATTAATCCCTTTATCATCCCTTATAACACTTTTCAAGTAGGTACCAGTTTGTTTTAATTTTACCTAATAAACAACAAATACTAATGGAACAGTTTTTATCTTCTAAAAATCTTTTTGGTTAATTAATATAGTTCTTTCAATAGTAGTCCTATTTTAGATGGGATAAATAAGTGTAGGTACAAAGAACCTTAGTTACTTTTCATGGTCACACATGTAAGCAGAAATTGTTTTTCAAGAGCCTGCTCTTCTGAGTGTGTTGCTATGAATTCCCATCTACATTATTTTTCTAGTTCATAAGCTACTTCGGTAGTACATACTTTCCCCACATGTTTCCTGAAGTGATGCAGTAGCCTACAGTCTAACATTTATCCACTCTAGGTCCACATCTGTCCATGTGTTTTATATAAGACTAGAGGACTGGTGCACTAATTCATACAACAGTGTGTTCCCTCGGGTTGGCCTATGGGATCATGCCAAAACTGGCTCTCCAACATTTCCCAAGGGGTCCAAGGATTGCAAGAGGGCACAGGCCAGGCCAAGTGACCACACCAGTGTATGATCAGGGTCAGGGAGGGATGCAGGAGGTTGGCCAGCTGGGGAGGGGTCATGAGAGGGTCCAGAGCATGTCCAGCCCATCTTGCTTAGTCCCAATGGGCCAGACCCCAGCAGCAAGCTAACCTACCAGTTGGAGCTGTTGAGCGGCCTTAGCATATCATTAGCATGTTACACTTTGATTGGTTGAATGGATGACTGGACACTTAGCATAATAGGCTTTTATGATATAGGATGCAATCTAGTCATAAAATATCCCTTCAGATTGTTCCAAGTTACTTGTTAATACAAGTCAAGATGCTTAGCATGACATACTAAACTCAGAGACATAGCAGTATCAAACAGACTGTCAAATCTCAGAAGAAAAGTAGGGGAAGGTGGACCGGTGGGAAGAGATCAAACAATTAACTTGAATAACCAATGGACACAGACAATAAGGGGGTAAAGACCTGGGCTGGGGGGTGGGGACAGGTTGGAAGAGGTCATTGGGGAACAAGGGGGATGTAATACTTTCGAAATAAAATGTAATACTTTCAAAAATAAAGAATTTTTAAAAAGGAAAATATTTATGTAATTCACTCAGTCTTGTCATCTTCAAAGTTTTTCCCCATTCTTCTGCACCTTACACTTTGACCTTCCTAAATACAGATTTGTTAATAATACCCACCACACATGTGCTATTTCTAGATTCCACAATATTAGGCACACTGTTATTCCCCCCACACACTTCATTTTCAGAAAAATTCATATTTACTGTTTAAAAATATATTTGTGTATCATCTTAACTCTGAAGTTTTTCAGAGTACCACTCTATCCTGTCATATATGCCTAGTTCCTTTATACCGTTACTGTTCTTTATATATATTTTTATTTTCCGTGCCATTCATATTGTAAGTATTCCCTTTCATCTCTAATTTCTCTGTTTGACTGTGAAAACCTTGAAGCCAGAAACTTCATCTTAGTTTTTGTTGTACCTCTCTATCCAAGAGAATGCCTGCTAAACAGAAAGAAGTCTATGAGCAATGATCAAAGATTATTCATATACATATGTGTTTTTAAACACACACACACACACACACACACACACACACACACACACACAGACACAAAGGTCTATTTAATAATGGGCTTGCAGAAAGCTTAATCTCTTTCAGCTCCCCCCACATACACACATACCACTGAAGTTTCTAAGTGATTTCTATTTTCAATGTAAAATGTAAATGGAATCAAGTTCTAATTTAAAAATTGTATTTGTCTCTGTATGTTATGCATAAAAATATGTAGTTGGTATCTTCACGTCCATAGAATCAGAAAACAACAAACTATAGTTCCAAAGCATGTTGCATTTTATGTTTCCTGTTATCAAATGGTAGTAATAGATAGTTATCAATACGAATGACTAAAAATTATCATGGGAAATAAAAAAGAGCTCTGTTTGTTTTAATTTAAATAATACAAAGTTACTTACCCAAAGCTTCACTATAATAGGCATCCCACGATTTCCAAAGAGTATTAAACATGTAGTCCTGTAGATGGTAGGAAATGAAATTTCTTATTCTGTCAGTAAAAGACATCTGATCGGTGAGTTCTGATAAAACAGCAGGAACATAGGAAGGAGGATATGGTGTCTTCCCACAATGTTTTTCCACTGTCGATGCTGGATAATACTTCAAGGAGTACATAAATGGAATGCCAAGTTTTAAAGCTATTATATCACCACAAGGAAATATTGGATCTGATACCAGGACCTCAAATTTGCTTTTCTTCAGCTTTTTCATCAGCTTTTGGTTTTTGAGAACACCATCACACATTTCTCTATTCAGCACATTGAAGTCCTTGATGGGTAGGTCAATTTCCTGATAGAATCTCCAAATGGTTGAAGGAGTTGGTTTATTTTTCATCCATGCCAAAATTAAATTCCTGACCACTTCTTGCAATTTTTCATCCTCAAAGGGCACCTTATATCTTTCATATGTCAAGTATGGGTTAGAGATGGGCTTGATGTGAAATGCACCAGAAGAAACTAGGACAGTCACATTATGCTGTTTGTTGATCAGCTCATCTATAATTATCTTAATATTTAGCCAGTGACTACCGTCCACTGGCCAAATCAGAACATTCCCACCAAGAGTGATTCCCAGGAGACTTATCTGAAGAGACAACAGCAGAATGGATTTTTCTAACATGATGTGGCTTGACATAGAAAATTTGATGAAATGTGATGCAGACAAATTTTTCTGCTTCTAAAACAAAAAGGAAAGACAAATTATTTTTAAACTTTATTCAAACCAGTGATACCCTTAAAATCTTTTTCCCTACCAAATGTTACTTGTCATGGTAGCTTCATATTTTATAATTTCAGGTTTAGGGGCAACATGTATTGTATCTGTCAACTTGTTGCTTTAGCTTCAATTATGATTCTTTTTCTTAAACTTGATCCTTCAATCCTTTCTTTGCATCTCATAATTTCTAAATTCTTACTATTTGATTTCTTGAAGCCACTGTCTGTCTGAACTCTACACTCAGACCTGGGAACTGATACTTCATATGTGATATGAAATGTAAAGATGCAAACTCTATAGTTAACTTAGAATGTAGAGATGCTAATTTTATAGGTTACTCCATATTTAATACATTTTATATCATGGCATTAGCAAAAATTAATATTTTTAAATATATCTTTATTGTTGAAAGTATTGCAGACATCCCTTTTGTCCCCTCAATTGACCCGCTCCCTCTATTCCTGTGCCTTCCGCCCAGGCCTACCACACTATTACCTGTGTCTATGGGTTATGCATAAATGTATATAAGTTCTTTGGTTAATTTCTACTTTCTTTCTCCCTCCATCCCCACCCCGTCGTCCCTTCCCTCTCACATTTGTCAGTCTGTTCCATGCTTCATGTCCCTGAATCTATTTTGTTCATCAATTTATTTTGTTCATTTATTTCACTCACTAGAGGCCTGGTACGTGAAATTTGTGCATGAGAAGAAGGGGCTGTCCCTCAGCCCAGACTGCACCCTCTTCAATCTGGGACATCCCTCTCACAATCCGGGACTGCTGGCTCCCAACCCCTCACCTGCCTGCCTGGTTGCCCCTAACTGCTTCTGTCTGCCAGTCTGATCACCCCCAGCCACTCCCTTGCCAACCTGATCAATGCCTAACTGCTCCCCTGCAGGCTCAGTTGCCCCTAACTGCCATCCCTTCCTGGCCTGGTCACCCCAACAGCCCTCTCCTGTAGGCCTGATCACCCATAACTTATCTCCCTTGCCAGCCTGGTTCCCCAACTGTCCTGCCCTGAAGGCCTTGTCCCTCCCAATGCCTTCCCCTGCTGGCCTGATTATGCACCACTGTCCTTCCCTGCAGGCCATCTTTTGGCGACCATCTTGTGTCCACATGAGAGCAACCATCTTTGACCACATGGGGCTGGCTGACCATCTCGTGTGTTGGAGTGATGGTCAATTTACATATTACCTATTTATTATATAAGATAAGTGATATCATGTGAATACTGTCTTTCTCTGGCTTATTTTACTTAGCATAATACTCTCCAGGTCCTATTATTATAATTATCAGTTATCTTATCTAATAAAAGAGTAATATGCAAATAACCATACCTCCACTACACTCACAAGTCATGCCCAGCAGCCAATCAAGAGTGAGTATGCAAATTAACTCAACCAAAATGGCTGCGGCCATGGAGCGAGCAGGAGGCTTGGATTTCCCTTGCAATGGAGGAAGCCAAACTTCCTGGCAGGCCCAGACCTCTGCTCAAGGCTACCAAGTTTCAATTATAGAAGATAAATAAATTCCAGATACCAAGGCCCACACTTGGATCAATGGGGGGGGGGGGGGGGGGAAATAGCCGGCCTGCAAATCACTACAGCCCCTCACACAGGCCATCCCACACCCCAAGGGAACCCCCAACCTGATTCAGGACACCCTTCAAGGCAAACCAGTCAGCTCCCATCCATGCATCAGGCCTCTATCCTATCTAATAAAAGCGTAAGATGCAAATTGACCAACACTCAAACACATAAAATGGCTTCCCCCATGTGGTCAAAGATGGCTGCCCCATGTGAGCACAAGATGGCTGCCACAAGATGGCCAGCAGGGGAGGATAGTTTGGAGGGGCCAGGTCTGCAAGGGAGGACAGTTGTGGGCGATCAGGCCAATAGGGGAGGGCAGTTAGGGGTAACCAGGCCAGCAGGGGAGGGCAGTTAGGGGTGACCAGGCCAGCAGGGGAGGGCAGTTAGGGGTGACCAGGCTGGCAGAGGAGGGAAGTTAAGGGCAACGGGCTGGCAGGGGTGTAGTTACGCATTAATCTGGCTGGCAGGAAGTGGTTAGGGGGTGATCAGGCTGGCAGGCAGAAGCAGTTAGGGGCAATAAGAAAGGCAGGCAGGTGAGCAGTTGGGAGCCAGCAGTCCTTGATTGTGAGAGGGATGTCTGACTGCCCGTTAATCCCTGATCCTACCAGGATCAGGCCTAAATGGGCAGTCGGACATCCCTCAAATGGCCCCAAATTGGAGAAGGTGCAGGCTGGGCTAAAGGACACACACCCCATGCACAAATTTTGTGCACCAGGCCTCTAGTTAGTAGATAAGACTATTACAAAGAGAAGACTTAAAATATGAAGTACAAACACAGTAAGTATAATGTTTATTATTACTTTATCTTAATAAATCACTGAGAAAAAAAATGGCAAGTAAGCAAATAAACTGTGTATGAGTACTTATGCCTGAGATGATGGGTAATGTTACTAGTAAATAAGAGTTCTTGGAAGAGAATTGCTAAGTCTGGGAAAAATTAGTGACCTCCACCCTAACCATTTTATAAGTTATAGGTGCTTCTTACCTTGTCCTCTATCTCCTGCTGGTTTGTAACCTAGGACTGGGGACTGTCCTTCCCCTAGCTTAAGTGTGCACCTTTACTTCTGGGATCTGTAAGTAATAAATCTTGTGACTATTTCTATAGTGTGGAAATTTCTATTGAAACTTCACCTTCAATCAAAACAACTCCTAGGATTTTACTTCCCATGCACACACTCATCCCACTGTGCCTCCTCATTCAGCAGGTCATTATATTCATATTTAATTATATACATCAACTCTGGCTTCACAACACAATTGGTAACCAGGAGGGTGGGATCGTGGGCACAGATTGTACCCTTATATAATGCCTTTGACCTGCATGTGGCTTACTAACTTTCTGGGAAGGAGATGGCAATGCCCTGGCCCATGACATCAGGGAACAACCTCATCCTAAATGCTGCCACCAAAACCTTCTTTGACAGAGGTGTCACCAAGGAAGACTAAATTCCCTGCTAATGACCCTGTGAGTGGCATTCTATGTGTTTACCACAGAGCTTCCTTGCCTATTATAATGTGTGCTGCTCGAGTATGAGGTTATCTGCCACACTGCTTTCTACTTCACCTTTGAGCTCAGGAAAGCCAAGATATGTGCCAAGTCTCACAACTTTAAGGGGCCCCAAAACACTTAACCAAGTTGCTTGCCTTCATCACACCCATTGGATTGGCCCACATTATGCATCTTCTTGGGAGTTACTGAATTTAATTTTTGTTGGGAAAACCTTTTCCTGACTGTGGGTGCTGCTACCACAAAGCCCTCTACCTACAACTCTCCAAGACTATACCACCTCACAGCACCCTTCGCCACAATCACTGCTCAGGATTCCACAATCTTTGCTTCTGTTTAAGACTGCAATAGGTTTTGTTTTTTTATTGATTTCGGAGTGGAAAGGAGATGGAGAGAGATAGAAACATCAATGATGGGAAAGAATCTTTGATCAGCTGCCTCCTAAACACCCCACACTAGGAATTAAGCCCATAACCCGTGCCCTGACTGAAAATTTAACCTTGACCACCTGGTTCAATCATTGAGCCACACTAACAAGGGGAGACTCCAACAGTCTTTTTTTTTAATTTAATAAATCTTTATTGTTCAGATTATTACAATTGTTCCTCTTTTTTCCCCCATAGCTCCCCTCCACCTGGTTCCCACCCTCTGCCCTACCTCCCCCCACTGTCCTCATCCATAGGTATACAATTTTTGTCCAGTCTCTTCCTGCACCTCTAACACCCCTTTACCCCTGAGAATTTTCAGTCCACTCCCTTTCTATGCCCCTGATTCTATTGTATTCACCAGTTTGTTCTGTTCATCAGATTTTTATTCACTTGATTTTTAGATACACTTGTTAATAGATATGTATTTGTTGTTCATAAATTTTATCGTTACCTTTTTCTTCTTCCTCTTCTTAAAGAATACCTTTCAGCATTTCACATAATACTGGTTTGGTGTTGATGTACTCCTTCAGCTTTTTCTGATCTGTGAAGCTCTTTATCTGACCTTCAATTTTGAATGATCGCTTACCTGGGTAGAGTAATCTTGGTTGTAGGTTTTTACTATACATCACTTTGAATATTTCTTGTCACTCCCATCTGGTCTGCATAGTTTTTGTTGAGAAATCAGCTGACAACCATATGGGTACTCCCTTGTAGGTAACTAACTGCTTTTCTCTTGCTGCTTTTAATACTCTCTCTTTGTCTTTTGCTCTTGGCATTTTAATTATGATGTGTCTTGATGTGGGCCTCTTTGGATTCCTTTTGTTTGGGGTTCTGTATGCTTCTTGGACTTGTAAGTGAATTTCTTTCACCAGATGGGGGAAGTTTTCAGTCATTATTTCTTCAAATAGGTTTCCAGAAGCTTGCTCTTGCTCTTCTTCTGGGACCCCTATAATTCTGATGTTGGTATGCTTGAAGTTGTCCCAGAGGCTCCTTACACTATCTTCAAATTTTTGGATTCTTTTTACTTTTTGCTTTTCTGGTTGAGAGATTTTTGCTTCTTTGTATTTCAAATATTTGACTTGATTCTTCTGTTACTCTAGTCTGCTGTTGGGTCTCTGTATAATATTTTTTATTTCAATCAGTGTATGTTTAATTTCTAATTGGTTCTTTTTCATATCCTCGGGGTCTCATTAGATTTGCTGGCCTTTTCTAGGAAATTCTTGGGGGAAAAAAACAAAAAAAACCCAAAACCTTATAACAGTGGTTTTGAACTTTATATCCAGTTGTTTGTTTTCCTCCATTTCTTTAGCTTGTGATCTCTGCATTTTTGCTGCTTCCCTGACTTGGTAGGGTAGCTTTGTGTGCTAGGTTTTCTATATGGCCCAGTGGGTTGGCCTTCCCAGTTACCTGAGGTGGACACTCTTGGTGAACCCAT